TTGGCCCTCACATTTGTGTTTCTGGCTTTGGCCAGAGGTGACTATCCAGCAAAATCCAAAGGGCTGCTGCACCCAGGAGCTAACAACACACACACACACACACACACACACACACACACACACACACACACACACACACCCTTCACATACCACATACTATTATACATACATGCACACACAGAGACACACACATCCACACATGCGTTCGTGGACAATTGTGGTTTACACAAGTACTATACATATGCACGTACACCATTGCGTCTCAAACATACGTACATAACACAAACACAAACCCCACACCACACATAGTCATGAACACACTTACAGACAGAGATGCAGACACACAGACACAGACACACACAGACATGGACGGACACACACACACATACACACACACATGAACACAACATCTAGGATAGAAGTTCCATGAAGGTAGGGTCTCCTGTATTCTCATCAGTAGGAGCAATATCTGCTGCAGTGAAAACATACAGACAGACATACATACATACATACATACATACATACATCAAACAGAGGATGTAGATAAGAACAGCATCTTGCTGCATCTTGTGCTTGAGTCCTTATGAGGCACAAGGAACATGTGTGACCCTGCAGAGATCACCCACAGAGCAGACCCAGCCTCCCACACTCACAAGCTACAAATGGCAAGTATAGGGTGAGTTGTCCTTGACAGTTGTGCCAGGCGGTCCCTGACTGAGCAGGGACCCAGAGCCCCAGTGTGCTCTGGAGGAAGCATTGCTTCCTCTGTGAGGCTTGCAGCAAGGTTGTTTCCACAGATAAATGGATGAAGCAAAGAGACTTTGTCCTTGGGTCCTGAGCTCTAGAAGGCATCTCCATCCCCAGTAGCACCATGCCGTGGGCACCAACAACACATTTACAGAGATCCTCTAGCCTGCCCAGGGTCCAGCCCACCTCCCTGAGCCCCCAGGACCTGACAAACAACACAACCTGCACAGACAACTAGAGGCCAGAGTGTCATGCTGTGAAGGCAGATAGCACCAGCTGTCACAGCAGGAGCCTGGCTCTATGTGGCCACAGTCTCTGAGTACAGAGGAAGGACTTAGATATTCCCTGAGGTTGACTTCCATTCAGAACAAACAAAAACTAAAACCAGCCACAAACACGGAGACTTCACACACCAGGTGTAGGTAAATACTGTAATCCCAGCCTCTGGGAGGTCAAGGCCAAATCGGAAGACAGTCAGGGCTCTGTGGTGAGTTCTAGGCCAAGCTGAAGTGTACAAGGATAACCCGTATCAAAAATGACCAGCAGAAGCTGCCAAGATGGTTTGGGGAGTAAAGATGTTTGCTGCCAAGTCCAATGACCTGAATTCAATCCCTGGTACCACATGGTGGAACGAAAGAACCGACTCCTGCAAGTGTCCTCTGACCTCCACACATGCCCCGCCCCCCCCCACACGCATGCACACACAAAGGTAACAATTGTTAAGAAAAATAAACAAGTATAAAGAGAGCTTTCACAAGCAGTACTGATCTACCTACCAACCCTCCTATCAAAGATATTATCTATCGAACCTTCATAGAAAGTAGAATAGCCTGAAGTCATTCGTGGCAGTGTAACTGTGCATAACTACTGCTCTAGCCTTGGCAGTTGGCTGCAGCTGGGACCTATCACCTGCACATTTTTGGGCACCTAGATTGTTCATCTTTAGACATGGATACAGGACTAGCCCATGGATACAGCACACCAACAGCTGGACTGAAAGCATGCTGGAGTCACTTTGTGCCTAGTACACACTATTGAAATGCCTTCTCAGCCACATGTTACTCCCATCCTCCCCCCACAAGGGACAGTGTTGTGTGGCTGGCCTGAGGTTTCAGCCATAAGAGAGAGAGGCCAGACTTAGTCACTTCATATCTGGCCCTGTCCTCCTGGAAAGCTGTGAGCCATGACAAGGGCTGTGATTAGGGGGATGTTTATAATCACTGTTCTAGGAGCTTGAAAGTAGGGGAACAGCTGCCATGCTTGTCTTGCTTCCTACAAAAGGGATGTTAGCATTCTCAGGAAGCCCATTTAAACATCCCCAAAGGACAAACATTTCTTAGGTAGTTGTCTGTCCTTTCTTGCTCTACTTTTAAATGTCCTGTCTCAGTCTTGCATTCCATCAAATCTCAAGCATGGCAATCCCTAGGTGGGAAAGGAAGTATACAATGATGTTCAAGGGAATAGAGCCAGCCTAGGACAAAGTTCAAGGGCAGGAAGTCATGGTCTAGCCTAGGGTGAAGGTCAAAGATGGGCCATGGACTACAAGCCCAAAGGTCAAAGATACATGCTATTAACCAGCAAAAAGTAAAGATCAAGGGGAATAGGCCATGGACCAGCCAAGGTAAAGATCAGGAGAATGAGCTATGGGTTGGCTCAGGGATTGTAGATCTTTAGTAGCTACTCTCCTGATACATGCCCACAAAACTTCACTTGCCCTCATGAGTCTTGGTGCTGTCATCTGTACCAAATAGAACAATACAGACTTTGTGAGATTGATGTTCCAGGAGACTTATTTTATCACCTACAGTGTATCTTGAAACACTGTGGGCATTTCCCCAGTGCTGACTACATCCTCCTTAGCCGAGGCCAGTTTCGTGTAAATTCAGAACATTTTGTGAGGAAGTGTGGAAAGTTGTTCTCTTTAATATCCAATTTTAAAGTTAGGGGAACACCATCATATTGCCACCATTATCCCATGATGGCTGTGCCAGTTTTAGTCAATTAGGAATTTTTCAAGTCATGTTCACACAGCTCTTATCTCACTCTGGACTAAAAGATTTTTATGAAACTAGCAAGACAGGAATGATGGGTTTTCATGTTACAGAAACCAGAACTGAAATTCACCGAGGTGAACATGGATTCCTGCAGGTCCACAAGCAGCATTGGAGTCCAGGTTTCCCACAGCTAATCCAGTGTCTCTATGGAACTCAACAGGCTTCTCACCTGCCCATCTTCTGTCTTCCTTTCCTCATTCTTCAGCACATAGCTGCTATGCATCTTGAACATTTCAACCTGTTACTCTTAGGCCACTTCCACACTCCTCCATGCTTCCACAAATAATCTTAGAGATGCCCTCTCACTGCACTTATTGTACTGTAGCCCAGAAGGTCTGGATATTCGCTAGAGTCATCTGAGGCCACTTTGAAATATATTTAGAATCCCACCCAAGCCTCCTTAATAAGACATCTACCTGTTTTAATTCGGCCTCCAATACACAGATGATTCTGACTCCCAGACTCTCCTCTACCACTGTGTCAACTCTGTAATGGAAGGACAAGATCTATTTGGCCCAACATTAGAGCTCTGGCACTTTGGACACTATCTGAGAAAGCTATTAAATAATACATAATTATCGATAACATTTACTGAGTGTTACCTCTATGCCAGGCACTGTGGTAAGTAGTTCACGTGCATTTATTTCAGTTAATTCTGCCAGTAATCCTGTGAGAAAGGCACTTTTATTACCTCACTTAAAGAAGCAGGAGCTAAGCTGGGAGAGGACTGGAAAACACCCAGTAGCTACACCAACGACCATTGGCAGTGTTGCTGTTTCCCACCCGACGCCCTGATAATAAACAGAACTCCAAAAGAGAGAGTTTGTGCACCACAATGGGGGGGTGTGTGAAATCACCTTTCAGACAAATCTGCCGCTGCCTCTAGAAAGCACGGTGGAGACACGGAACCGTGGAAGGGCATGGGTTCAGTTTCATCCAGTGCCTAGTTTAGATACTGAGTCACCAGGAATTGTCTAAATTCTCCTGGATGGTTTAATTATAGTTTTCAATTAAAATATGTTTTGCTAGAAATAACACAGTTAATAAGACTGAAACAAACAAGAATTTATTCTTATTAAGAAAGCTTGAGGTTGACAGTCTAAGCTTGGTCCCTCTGAATGGCTTATCGGGCCAACAAATCTGTTCTCCCTTTCAGGTTCTAGTGTCTAACCAAGCTTTTCTTCACTGTCCCAGGTAGACAATAGCTCCAAGCAGCATGTCACTCCACATGATGACACATAAGGGATGTCTTAGGAGGACAGACTCTCCTATGCTCCTCTCTCCTTTTGTAGTGGTCAGAATTCTTCCCGGGAATCCACTTAGCTGACTTCCTTCCCTCCTACAAATAGATTTCACAGCCTTTGCTAGCTTAGCAGGATTGAGGAAGGCAAGAAATAAACATGATGCTTCCAGTTTCCCCAAACAGTGTTGAATTTGCCAGGAAGAGGAAGGAAAGAAAGAAATGTTCAACAATGAGACAACTGATCACACCTTCCTCAAATAGTCTCTTGATTCATGACTGATACAAAGTGGATTCCCTTCAGAATTTTTTTAACTCTCTCTCTCTCTCTCTCTCTCTCTCTCTTTCTCCCTCCCTCTCTCTCCCTCCCCCCTCTCTCTTACTGTATGAGAGAGAGATGTGGATGGAATTGGTTCTGTCCTGTCATCTTTACATAGGATCTGAGAATCAGACTCAGGTGGTTGAGCTTGAGTGGCAAGCACTTTTACTGGCAGAGCCATATATCTGGCCCCAGAACATTTTTAAAAGGAGCTTGCCTGTGGCTTCACTTCAGCTGAAGAAAGGAACACACAAATGCTAGGGCCTGGATGTCTGTGACAGGGAGCATTAAAGATTTTGGAGACAAGGAATTTGCTTTGTTTTTCTTAATTGAAACTTATGTTTGTGTATCTCTGTGAGGTTTGAGATGGCAATGTGTAATGACAAATGATAATAATCTTTGATCTTCAGTCATTTTTATGTGCTGGGAACTTAATACTCTTCTCAACATTTAAATGTGTACCACAGATTGTAAAACAGTTCTGTAGAAAAATCGGAAGGAATTTCATCAGTCCAACTGAATTTTGTTGCTCCTGACTGAACCCTTTTTCATGCCCTTCCCTTCACTTCCTTGTCTTTAGTAAGCCCTGTTCTAGTCTCTCCTTCAAGATTAGCAGTTCAGTTTCCACAAACAAGTGGAATGGCTAATGCTCTCCTCTTTTGTTTCCAGGTCAACAGCGATCTTGTTTACATTACAGCTAAGAAAAATGGCACTCACGTGGTAGAATCTGTAGATACCACCCATATTGGGAAGTTAATTGTGACCAAACAAATCGGAGGAGATGGCATGCAAGACATCACTGATACTTACAAATTTCAAGAAGGTAATTTGCTACAACCAAATATGTTTTTCCCAATTCCATTTAGTACTTATTCACTGTCAAGATGAAATATGTTCCAGAGAGTGCCCTGGCATTTGCAGCATCTGGTATTAAGGGCAGAAACATAAACTCTCATAAGCAGCAGACACCCACAGTTCTTCATTATTTTGCTTGCTTGTTTTGAGCAGAATTCCCCTTCTCATGACTTGTGAAGTAGGTTTTCAATTACCATTTTAGAATTACTTTAGAATGTATTCTTACTCACATGGACCTTGACTGTAAGTAATCTCATTTGATCACACTATCTGCATTTTATCAACTTAGTTAAATAATAGAAATTTAAGTCACTACTTCAAATTTATTGAGCACTTTATAAATTATTTTTAACACGTTGTTTCATTAGGTTGACATGGAAACCTTATGGGTATGATAGTTTGGTAGATGGTGCAATTTCAGTAATGTAGGCAAATCAGGTTGAAGGCCCGTTTCAAATACAAAGTAATGTTTTGATGGAGGGTTCTTATTGTATAGTATGTGTCAAACGGTACCACTGTCTTCCATTACATCTCAATCAATACTATGTCCACAATCCTAACAGTGAACAGGACACAGTTTCTGTCCCCACACAAGAGGTAGAATCATTACACAGAGAAAACTGTGGGAACAGAGAAACACTGGACCCTATCAAGAGAGTCCGAAGAATTGAAGCTTAGGCAAAGACCTCATTTAAAGAACACTGGATGGGGTAGATTCCAGGAAGTAGAGCCATAGTCAAAGATAGGAAATGGTGAACAACACTAGATGTTTAGAGTACTACAGGCCCCCACGCCCTTTCCAGCTTGGAATGCCCAGTGCCATCTGAAGGAAAACGCTGGCTGTTTGGGGGACAGAAAGCTACAATATCTTTTGGAAATTGCTTGCCTCCAGAGATTCTTAAAGGTGGCATTTATTTTAGTGAATGGATAAAAATTATGGCTAGTTAGCATATGCTAAATATTCATAGGCATTCCTGAAGTGCTAATGTGTACGGTTTGTTTTAAATGTTTTATACTGCCTTCTTGCTCTTATTTACAAAAACAATTTGCATTATAAAGACAAAACCTGCTGAACTGAGACAGGTGTGCAGTGTTGAAGTTTAGAATTTTTGTCATTTGAACTCCTGAATTTCTAATGTTTCCCTGAAACGGTTCAGTCTCTGCATTTGGTTGTCATCTACTGCACAACACAAACACACAAAAGAAAACCTCACTCTCCTCTAGGTATTTTGACTTTTCTCTAGAAGGGAAGTTAAAAACAAATACACACAATGAAACCCGGAAAGCAAGCAATGTACTCTCTCACGAGATGCAAAGAAAAAGATTTGAAGAAGCAAAAGGGAAAGTCCTTAGAGAATGTGCAAGAGCTAGCCAGATCCATTGCAGCCACTCAGCAGCACAGCTGCACGGAGCTGAGGGCACCACAGCCCCACTGTCTGGCTTACTGTGGGGGAAAGCAGAGTCCAGTCCTTGCCATGATAGAAGGGAGGGGCTATGACATGGTTTGGGCAGATGACCCAGGTGCAGGGAACGTCACCCAACCAGAAGGGACCCTGAAATGCTCCCAGTACTCATGACACAAACCTGTGTCTGTACCATGTTGATGTCTGAGCAGAATTGACAGAATCTGATAGACTGGCCCCTAAATGTCACGAGGTCAGGATGCATCCGCTTGTTCAACACTCTGAATTGGCACCTACTGTGTTCAGTGTGACTGAAACCTCAGTGGTAGAGCACTTGCCTGGTTCAAGTCCCAGCACCACCAAAACTCCTATCCAAAGAGTAAATAAGAATTTGAAATGGTAACTGGGGAAGTTGTTGGGGGAAAACTGGTAGAATGGCTGTGTGAACCGCTTTTCTTCTCTACTGATGAAATAGTAGATGGCTCAGTGGATGAGAGGTGAGCTCACCATCACCTGTGAGCAGTGCTTAGCCATGGGATCAGATGCTAGATGAAGGCAGCAGTAAAAACTACTGGAAAGAGACAAAAGCACGCAGCAGAGTCTAGCCACCATGCACTGTCACTCGGAGGTGACAGTGAATACCAAATACGAATGGGGGTCAGGATTAGATGTTAAGAGAGAAAGACACATACCTTTCTGTGAGAGAGAGATTGGGACTTGGCCTGTAATATAAAAATGTTAAAATACAATGCCCAGCTGTCCATTGGGAAGACTTCTGAGGCCCAGAGTGCCACACTTCAACAAGAAGGTGAGACTCAGGGAAAGGGTGGTAGTAGTTATAAGTCAACTAGAACACCTAACACATGTGATTAGTTATAAGAAACATTTCAACCACTTTCTGGGATAAGTTTTGGTCCCAAGTGGAGAATTCATCTCATCATCAAGGATGACACACATACTTTATATTCTAGCTGAGAAAACATCCCAGGGAATGTGCTATTCTGGGACTCTAGGAACTCCATCAGCATGTGGTGGGAAGAAGGATTGATTATTGATGTCTGCTCCAGACATACAATACAAACCAGCAGTGACTGGTCCTGGCTGTGGCCTTGCCACTCTGATTCTCATGGTACATCTTCTCTAACTTCTTTGAATCCAGATACACTGAGGATGTACACTATCTCTATATCAATGGAGATGAAAGAGGACAGAAAAAAACTTATATCAGATGCAGGAATGGGCTGATATGCAATTTAATTGTGAAGAGATTGCTTTTCACTTCAACTAAAACTTAATATCAATTTTAACTATTTTTTCCAAAATGTAAGATTAAGAAATGTTAAAGCTTGGAAAAACCAGAATTTTAAAAAATGTTCTGTGGCAATATGTCCTCTTTCGTTATGGTTAAAAAATGTTCTGTGGCAATATGTCCTCTTTCGTTATGGTATTTGGACCCATTCCCTCATCACTTCACCCATTCCTCCAGCATTGCTGTGTTGCCCCCTCCCTTCCTCCCTCCCTTTTTCTCCCCCCCCCAACTGATGAGCAATTAGGCATCTCCTATATTCAATTATTTCTCTAAACAAAACCATTCCTTGCTTCACAAGCCCATTCTGTGTTCTTCCTTATCTGCCAGCCACCATCTTGAGAGACCCGGGGGGAATTATATCTCTCTGTTCCTTTCCTGTCCATCCTGTTTCACTGAGCCCCATCTGCAACAGAACATCCTTGAAGCCACTCTTAGCTGCACGGTGGCATGTGGGCTCGGGGTCTACAGGTGCTGTCCCGCTTCCCTGCCTGGCTTCCTGGTGTTATTCACCCCTTTCTTGACATCCTTCTCTTGTTTCTGTAATAGAACTTTCTCATGCTTCCTTCGCCCCTCCCGCCATGTGTTTTCTGTCTTCTACAACGCTAAGCTTGCCTTTCTCCAATCCCCTCTGAATGCCGCTTGATTTTGACTATCCTTTGTGAGTTTCATGCCAACCAAATTCATGTTCTTCCTGGGTAGCCACGATTGACTCTCACAGATGTAGGAATCACTCCCAAGTCTGCATCTCAACCGAAGGCCTTAGGAGAGTGTGCCACAGGAACCTGAAACCAAATATTTGCAAATTCTATTCCCTCTCTCTCCCCTCTCTTGTCCTATCTATTCATTCTCTACATTCTACTCTAATGAATACAACCACTATACACCCACGTTTAACTACCTGAGAATTTGGTAGCAAATCCTCTACTCATCCCATCTGAAACAACCCTCAAGTGCACCTTTTCTCTCTGGTTCCATAGCCATGCTCTGAGGATGAGACAGAGCCAGCCCCATGTAGAAAACCTTAACACGGAACCTGACTCATACTGAGGATCCAGTAAGAGTTAGTTTCCCCTTCTAATAGTAATGCTACCACAGCTACATGGTGCTCAGAGTATTTCAGACTATGACTGTTTTTGCTGGAACATTAACCATAGCTTACCACCCCTTCTTCAGTGTAACCTTTTCTCTCCACAAAAGCCGTACTCCATGACATGTAAGCCTGAGCCCATCAAAGCAGAGAAAACAGCTTTCTGTCTTCCCAGTGCTTCCAGGGTGTTCCAGGAATAACCCACAAAGCCTTGCTAGCTGACTTCTTGCTATACTGTCTGATCATCCACAGCTGTGCAACAGCCAGATGAGCCTCTAACATTTCCTCCTTGTAGCCAGGCTCTTGTGTGCTCCTATCCCCGTGTCTTTGCTCACTGTGCTGAAAAGAGGGCTCCTGTGCCACCCAGGCAAGCTAAGTGTATTTCATGTCTCCAGGTTCCTTATGACAGCATCTGTCCCAGCATCTGTGATTCACAAATCTATATTCTGATAGACCTTCACTCATCCTTCTCTACCCTTGAGTGAAGGACTCTTTCTTTTTTTTCTTGAAGGACTCTGTGCTTAGCAGAGAGTCGAATGTCTGTCCAAAGGACTCCAGGGTTGTGAAACAACCAAAGGGGTGGTCACAGGGGGGTGTTCTCACAAGTTGGCTAAGCTGGGTGCACTCTACAGCAGCTGTTATAGAGACAAAGGTTCTGCCTTGTGCTGAAAGCGGCATGTATCTGCAAGCTCCCTTCCTCCCGATCCTCAGGGCCTCCCAGGACTTGGTCCTAGTGATACTGATGAGGTGGACAAGACAGACAGCATCCTGACCTTCTGGGAGTCTGTGTTCCAGCAAGGGAGGTGACATCACACAGGGCAAGAATGTTGATTAAAAAGAAAGAAAACCAGAAACACGTTAGTGTGAAGACAGGGGTCTGGTGCTCCACTCACAAAGTAATGGGAGAAACTTGGAGAAGAGCATGTGGAGAGTAAGACCATGGCGGTGACAGACTGCTTCATCCAACATGAGAGGGCTCATTAACACCCTAGTTCACAGGAGGTGATGTGACCTTGCTTCTGCAGAACACAGAGGCTCTCAGAAAGCAGAAACCAGTGCTAGAGAAGCTGTTACTGGTGCCCCAACACCACAACTCAGGTTGGATCTGCTGAGAAGCAGGAGTGACTCGCTTAGGCCTTGACAAACCTTGCCATTCTCTCTTGCCTGGAAGGGCCTCTGTCAGTGTGCAACTGCCTTGCTCACAGGGGACAGAAGGAGGGTCCAGGTTGCACCATCAGGACAGCGTGAGAAGTAGGCTCTGAACACAAACCTGTCTTTGCCCCTTTCTCGCCTGGGTGCTCAGCTCCTCTTTCCCAGGGCAATCCCTCTGTGGTGCTTCGCCTGCTGCTCCAATGGCTTCCTGTGTTTTGCCTAAATGCATATTTGGCCCTCATCCAAAGTGACAATTGTTAATGTCCTCCTTTCTCATGGACCTGTTTGCCAGTTGATCACTGCTAAAGTAGTTCACTGAACTTTCATGGCTGGGCTTTCCATTCTCCCTTCCTGTCTTCCTCTGGTGGCTCTATAAACATGTGCCTGTGCCAGTTCTGGTTCTAGACCTATTGTTTCTGGCACACTTTTTCGGGCTTGACAAAGAAGTTTATAGCAAACTCTCTCTCTCTCTCTCTCTCTCTCTCTCTCTCTCTCTCTCTCACACACACACACACACACACACACACACACACACACACACACACACCACCTGTTGTTTTTTTCTCTGCCCCCCCCAGATTAGTTTCCATTTATTACACACCTACTACCTCTGATCCACCTAAGGGCCCTATGATGTATGCTCCCTTATGTCATGGGTGGTGTTCATAGTGCCTACCCTGTGGTTGTTATGAGGCTTAACAGAGCTGCTTCAAGCAAGCACCCATCCCACAGCCTGTCACATAATTAGCATTTAGTTACTGTTAATAGCATCTACTGGCCTCCTCACCAACATTGACTTCAATTATTAACTATTTTCCAACCTAATTCTTGGTATAGTAGACTATAACATCTTTAAATTAGCATGATTACAAAAGGCAGCTTCTTATCTTAAATCTTTTCCCCACCAGTCATCCTCATACCTCCCTTTCATAAGCCAAGGATTTTGCCTCCATCTTTTCATCTCTGTCCCCCACCATGAAAGAATCTATATACAGAGATGTTTAGAATAGAAAGAGAAGGGCCACCCATTTTCTGTACTTCAACATCTTGCCCTGGTAGCCAAGTACTTTACCCAAGCTTTTCAAACACCATTAGTCTACAGCTTTTCAGGTAGTCAGGGTCTGAGCACAGCTGCCCTGAGGCTACACATCTGTCCTTGTTGCCTTCTTCCTCACCTGCTCATCCTGTTTCTTTCTCTTCTCTGTCTCTGCTTCTCTTTCTCATTCTCTATTGTTAGTATGTTCTCTCTGTGTGTCTCTGCCTCTGTGTATATGTGTGTGTATGTCTTTCTCACTCTAGTGCATGTGTGTGTGTGGTGTATGTGGTGTGTGTGGTGTGTGTGTGTGTGTGTGTGGTGTGTGTG